CTAGAGCCATTTTTTCAACTGACAGAGCTCAATATCAAGGCAAATCCGTCATGTTTTCAATGTGCGCGTGCACGAGCGCGCGCTAATGACGCCATAAATTATGCGTAGTGAGGATGAGCAGTGCAAATGTGAGGAATGACCTTAAGCACCCTGGGCACTTATTAAATTTTTGGACTTCGAGAGTGGGAACTTATTCGAGGCTGGGCGCTTATTAAATTTTCACCATTTTCAGCAAGTAGTAATTAATTTTGCAAGAAAACAAAAAATAATAACAAAACGTAAATATGTACCAAAGCAGAATTTAACTGTTCATGGATATTGCGGTTGATAACTCTGTGAATCCATTGGGTTAACGTTTTGCAGTTCCAGCGGTCTCTAATCTGGAATGATTACATAAATATAAACCCTAGGTCCACCACCAGACTTGAGCTTAAATGAAGCCATGTTTACCTCTAAACAGATCTCTTGCGGTTTTACAGCCGTCTCTCACCAAAAATAATTATAGAAATGCCTTCATACTGTAGCTATTTCGTGTTCCTTCAATTCCCTACATTACTCATTATTGCACTCTCCCCAGTCCCTCATTTCTCTCTGCTCAAGCACAAAATGAAAGTTGTAGAAAAAGTTACTTGTTACGTACATGTGCATGGTTTTATCCACTAACGGGAACAAAAATAATCTCAAGTCTAAGTGACTAATTTCGTACTTGATTACATGTAAAATGAACGAGAAACCAGCTACGAACTTCCGCCACTTTTTTCTTGTGAACTGAAAGCTCTGTCTGTATGGAAAAGTTGAATTCGAAAACACTTTGCAACAGAAAATTAAGATGATGACCTAGAGGAAAACTGGAAGAGGACTGTGGGGTGTCCATAAACACTACCAGCCACATGTATCATTACGTCCACCTTGTTCCAAGGGCCTCTCCTCTTTATGCTCCCTGGGAGGCAAAGAGGAGAGCCGACTCGCTGAACAAGGTTGCCGTTACTTTATTCATATTAGCTATAAAGTTCACTTGATGTTACCTCTGACTTTGGTTTGTACTTGTCCAGCCAAAGATCTGCATCTCTTCTTGATTTTCTTGTATTTGGCTGGCTGCCTTCTATTTTTACAAATTAATGGTTCACTTTAAAGAGCAATTTTTACTACAGCACAAAATCTTATGTTTCAAAGACATTCTCAGACCATGAAATACATTATGAGTAAAACTGATTCTGGTCTTTGTACTTTGCCTTTGCTGAGGGAACAGTCATTTATTCACTTGCTGATTTCTTTAATTTGTCCTGTGAAGCAACATGAACTGCTTCATGCTTCGATGATCCAAAACAAGATTAACTAACTAAGTTACACTCAAGCATGGTGCATAGATTAAACCTTAGATTAGAAACAAGCACCAATCAGAATGAAGTCGAGCAATAACGATATCATGCACAATTATGAACGTCACTATGAACAACATAACCAAGCCTGAAAAAAGGCGCGGTGAGAAAAAGAGACAATAGAATGCAAAGAAACATTAACATAATTCGAAAACATCAGATGTATCCCTTGTAATATTCTAAAAACGTTTGACCATATATTTCTTAATTTTCGACGACAGAAATAAGAAACAAGAACAACAAACAGCCTTTCAACCTTCTCCGGTCAGTCATGTTAGCATGCATTTCCCAGATCCCTAAATTTTAGGGCTGTCGCGAGCAACATCTACGGAACATTTAAGTATGATGTCATGCAAAGGCTGTTGAGAACTAAAAACAATTGGAAAGGCATCGGTGTGATTTGAATTCGACTGGAACCTCTGGCTACAGTTAGGCCTGGCGCCATTAAACTAAAGACTAATAACCCGAGGAGGAGTCTATGGTTAATGCTTTGATGTGACTGCACCTATTATCAGTTCACACGTTGATTCATTGGAAAGTCGCTGTCACATTTTGTTTTATTCAGTGTTGAGTAGTGCTCAGTAGTTGACTTGCACCTGGGGTACCTTCATGAACACTGGAGTATATTGACAAAAACATGGCCAGAAAATATAAGACATTTGTTTCGCCTTTACTTTTGAATTTAACAACTGCAAGTTATATCTACGAATAAAGACTTGTTCATTCTACTTTAAACTTCCTTAACAACTCGGTTTGTCGTTAAGAGGTTTAGAAATGTATTTTGAAGGCAACAATGAGATCTTTTGACATAATGAAATTACCATTAGTTGTCAATTTCTTTAACTGAAAAAACCTCACAATCGTGAAACGCGTTAGTCTTTTCAAGCTCTCAGTGTCATGATGGACATTAAGCTACACATTATTTTGCTGCTTCAACTTTTACTACCAAGCGGTGAGTTAATGTTTTTTCTTTGCTTGAACAATTACAGCAATTACAATTAATCTTACACTACAGTTACAAAAACAGAGTCTACGGAGTACGTATCTACGCATTACAATTTACATGTTACATATTACGAACTTACAGTATGCTACTTACAGAAAAAAAGGAACTTTGATATTTTAGAGTTTTAATTCTACAAGTTCTTTTTAACTTATTTTCTCCAAAAAAGAATTTATTCGAATAAATAGCTTTAGTTTATGGTACCTATTGTGCTAACGTGTTCAACTGTTGTATGGATTGTACGTTTGGTGAGACATGTGGGAGCTAAAACAGCTCTCAAATGCTTATGCGTGTTTTTTGCTTGGTTCTTGTTATCGATCTACATTTAAGGCTAGGAACAAAATACTGTTAGAGTCAGAGCAAACAGACATTTCCTCATCAAAACATGTAACGTGCGTACGATAAAAGGTTGCAGGGCGACAAGAAACTGATTTTATTTAGGCAAAAAAAAACCCAGTAAGTTGTGTTAAGACTTGAATAGCAATTATTGCTTCCCCTTCCATGAATAGTCAGGGTTATGAGGGTGACCCGGCTATAAATGTAACTTTTTGATTTGAAATTACATTCTATTCTTTTCCTATTGTGTGCATTTTCATCATGCTGAAGATACGTTGCAAGGTTCAAGAGCGCAGCAAACCACACGTGTAAATATAAGCTAATGATAAGCGTGTTAATGTCCTGATTAATGTCAACAAACAACAAAAATTTCATTAAAAAGGCATCAAATCTGTCAAACCTACAGGGGGTTGGTTTTAAAAATTTAAACAGTGAAAGTTATAAAAGTTGCTTTAGCCAATCAGCAAGAATGAATATAGTGGAAGTTTGCTGTCACTAGCGGGAAGTTAAAGTAGAAATCTCTTTTTCCACTGATCACCAATAACTCTCTATTTTTCATATGCATAGTACTTAGTACTTTCTTATTTTTTAGCTATAAACGGTTCGTAAGG